CTTCTTCCTTGTCCTCAGAAAAAGCCGTGAAGCATATTATAAATTGTAGAAGACTCCAAGAGTATATTCCCAAAGTTGTTCTAATTACATTCCTATTATTCATAACCTGCCAGGGAAAACATCTGGTTTGAAAAACACGAATATAAAAACATATAGCACGATAAACAAATGATGGATGGATGGATGGAGGTATAGACAAACGAATGGATATATATGTGTGAATAAATCAGATGTGAATAAATGAATGTATTGATAGACAAGATAAATGCATAATCAAGCATGGATAGATAAAGGGAGAAAAAAAAAGGATAGAAAGAAAGAAAGAGAGCAAGGAAGAAAWGGATGAATAGTGAAATCAAAGAGCGGYCGGTCACCAGGCGTACGAAAGGGACAAGCATGCAAAGTCTAATCATTCGAATGATAAGCGTTACTATATGAATCGTACCTCTTCTTCCTCGAATGCTTGAAATATTTCCAAAATGTCCGCTGCTATAGCAACATACTCCAGCAAGAGAGCGGAGAGTTGATCACGTGTTATGGGACCACGTGGTAGGATCCAACGGCCAGCGATGATAATAAGAACCAGTCCTACTTCGCTGAATTTACGGGCGAAATCTTCGTCGTATTTGAACTGTGAATGAATTGTGTGAGGTAGTTTGGGAAGTTAGAGAGTGATTGTCAATCAAAAACCGCAAAGCAATTATAATTAATTTATCCATCTTTTTATATACAGGCTTCCACCCGATTCCCTGATCTTTTATTCTTTAACTATAGTTGATTCCTTGATCGCTGTCACTGATCGCGATTTAAACATAGACTTCTGAACCTTTTACGTCACTACTTGGTTTTCAATGCATTGTGGGACCAGTTTCTAGAGAAAACAAAAAAAATCCGCCATGTTTGTTCTGTCCCAAACATACCCTACAATGCATTGCGTATACGGTACATGACGTAAAAGCTTCAGAGGTCTATCTTTTTATTATGATCAAAAGGCTATAAATGATTCCTGATCCCCTATGGAATGATTGCTGATCCCAAGATAACATATTGTACTAATCCTGGTCCCATGCCTCGCATTACTATACCCTAAAGTTTCACATTGTGATCGTGTTTAACAGGTCGTCGTAACTTACCCCGAATAGTCGTGACTGTGTAGTACTCTGCGCGCTTCTCATRATTCTACCATCGAGTTGTTTCAGTTCAATGATCCAAATGCACGGAACAACAGAACACAAATAGAAGAAACAGCTTGGCCAGACACTGAAAACAGAATTCAACCGAACAATCAAATGTTTGCAAACAGTTTTGTAAAAAGATAAATTTAACACCGTAAACGATTAGGTGAAATATAACATACTGACGAAAGCGTTAACGTCCGAAACGTCAGTAAGTTATTTCACCGACTTTTTTACAGTGTTAAATTTATCTTTTTACATAACTGTTTCTTTAGAAATACCGGTGCAGCTCACACTAGTTTACTGCTAGTTCCCACCAAATGTTTGCATAGCTATTCATTAATTGTTGCTCGATTGCCTGTCAAATTGGTGGCAACTAGAGGTAAACTAGTGTGAACTGCGTCGGTATTTCTAAAGAAACAGTTGTGTAAAAAGATAAATTTGAATTTAACACCGTAAAAAAGTAGGTGAAATACTTACTGACGTTTCGGACGTTAAATTAATCCTTCGTCGGAGTGTCAAATTGATTGATTGACAGAGGTAATGATGTATGGTTGATTCACGGGAACGTTTAGCTGTTGATTCAGCTTGGTTGTTTGGTACAAGTAGTACGTAAACTCGTTACGTAAATACACGTWAGAATGATTACGTATCGTGTCGTTTAATGGTTTATAGTCAAGAGCTATGAAGTCCCGCAAAGTTCGCCGAACTATGGCGTGGATATCACGAACACGTCGGCCTAAAATGCCCTGAAAACGCGAAGCTTGAGCTAAAATTAATTCTCACCAAATAATTATCAAAAGATTGCTTAAAGAAAGTTATAAAAAGCCTAAATAAATCAGATAAAAAAGGGCGATCAGATAAAGATCTTTGAAGTGTTTGGTGTAGTTTATTCTCTTACGCAAGTTCTGTGACTCGTTTTTTTATAATTATGCGAAATAACTAAACATGTTTCACTTGAATTGCATCATCATTTTTTCATCTGCACAAAAAAAACAGCAACTGGAACAAAAGCCATGAGAAAACTTGCTTTTTTAACTGAAAAACTCGCGTCCGTACGTAATAAGTACTTTCTTGATCGGATTTCTCGTCAGATTACCTATTGCTCGAGTGTTTCTTACTTCAAACTCTTTGAAAATAAAGGAATACGTCAACGAAACTAACTTTTGTCATTCGATAAAAATTTCAAACGATTTATCCATGAGAAAAGTAGAGTAAAGTATGATTGGGAAATAATCAAAGAATTTTCGAAGTTCGACAGCTCGCACAACCGCACGCTAGTTTTATCATAAATCTGCAAGTTTTTGCTAAACCGACTGCGCGCARACTTTGAGCAATTATTAATGAAAATAAAAACAATATCAAAGTAAGWTTTCCATACTTACAATTTGTATTCTCGTCCTCTCCGAATAAACAAAGTAAAGCACATCTCGAGGCCCAGTAAACAAAGCCCAATCAACAAATACCAGTACTCGTTTCCTGGAAACAAGTTCACGACCATCATAACGACGAAAGCTCCATGTGAAGCGAATAAAGCTCTCGTAATTATAGCACCAATAACCTCTATAGCGCTCGCCATTTCTTGCTGTCCYTCTGTTGCTATTTGGGACTTTATATCCACAGCCAGCGACAACAAAGAGCCGTAGTGCGTAAGGACTATTGTCYTTAGTCTACGTCCCTTGAGTATTCGCTTTTGAACCACCTCTACAAAGCGTTCTATAGGCCTATCCATTGAAATTGGTGCAGGCATTGTTCTGGACATCTTAAGCATATGATTTAATTTCCTTTAAGTGAGAAATTACTTTGAGATAACACTTTTTAGCCGACGTTGAAAAGAAAAAAGACTGTGTTGTATGCGGTAAACGAACTTGAGTGAAGAAACCCAACCTTTGCGAGGACAAAATCCAAATGATTTGGTTGCCTTAGAAAGCTCATTATTTACACCTCGTTCAAAGTGGCAAATTATAATGTCATTAACTCTGTTCTGCCACTTGACTAATTGAGTTTTAATAGTCTGGGTTCTTTAGTATTTATCTGCTATGCAAACATTTCTCTTTTAAATGATATTTCTATCATCCAACTGAGCTAACAAACTACCAATATATCGGCAAATGAGCTTATATGTTTGATTTTCATGTTTACTCGGCAAAGGATAATTCAGTTATATTGTTGATATTGTAGAGCGCTAAGCTATGCCTAATCAGAATTCCGTGACAATGACTATTATAATGACATTTTCAGTGTCTTAATTTGATTAGTCCAATACGTAAGATCAAATAAATTGTAAAACAAAGCTCTTTTTCGAAGAGCAAAACAAAACATTAACATACTTGAAAGAAGAAAAAAATACCTCTTAGATACCTAAGCTGCCTAGTTAGTGCAAGGGGTTAATCATCTATGGTCTAGGGGCCGATTAGCTTCTCCCTCACTGTC